AGCCCAATTCGAACTGGGCTGTTTATTGAGTTAATAAAGGGGCGAATTCTGAAGTGGATCAGCTAATAGGATTGGGCTTAGACCCTATCCACTTAGAGAGTCCAAGRTCTRAATRAGATTTAGATCTGGAAACCTCCTAATTAGATTAGGAGATGACTGATCTGATCTCCAGATAAGATAAGGATTGAGCTGAATCGGTAACTTACAGTGCAGGGATTCTTGATGAACTTGGTTTGAGCTGAATCGGTAACACCACACAGCTCACAAAATCAGTTCAGTCTTGACAACCGTGATAGCCAAGCTCGGTGGCAGATCTTTCTAGAAGAAGAAATACTATTTCAGCCTTCAAGGGGCAACCAACAGACCTTCAAACACAAAGTATTTCAGGTCCCCAACAACCGTTGTCCCAAAGAGAAGAAATAACAGTACACAGTCCTTAAGAGGCCTTTTAACAAACACTCTGTGTGCAGTAGTTAACACCCTACTGATAACTAGTAGAAACCACTTCAATAGTATTTCGTATAGGTCCAAGAAAAGGCTGGGCTGAATTAGAGACTAATACCATTGAGTCCAAACCAGTTTCAGCAACTTGACAGTCCAACAACAGCCGAACTGCTCCCCCAAATAACCCAGAAATCTCTAAGTTGAATCAGTCTAGCTGAACAGTAGGGCAGCTTTAACAGCCCTCCCAAGCAAAGAAAATAACCCAGCAATAACTGCGGTAACTTACAGTTTGTGAATCTCTGATTTGAGTTTCAAATAAGGCCGAACACCTTTCTCTCTGATTTTTCCTGGTCACCGAACTATTCTCCAAGTGGGTAGAGACTTGGGCACCCTCCAATGACCTCCAAGAACCAGGCGAATGACTTTAAAATTCCAGGCCTAGAGCATCCTCATGCAGTCGGTTGTACTAGAACCACATGAGGGTCACGCCAAGCTCTGGCCTGCTCTGATACCAAGTTGAAAACAGCCCTCTTGAAGTATAGAATTGCTTGAGATTAGATGCAAACCAGAAAACAAACAAGAGAAGATTAAGAAGATGAGAGAGAGAGAGAGAGAGAGAGCTGGTGGCAATGAGAGTTAGAGAGTGAGAGGTTCAAACTAAACCTCCCTCTAACACTTTAAAACATTTTATTAAGTTAATCTTTGAATTATTACAGAGAGGCCCTTGGGTGGGCAAGAAATTAAAAAACAGAGTATATAAGAGTATGAGCCCAGAATAAGGCTCATTACAGAGGAAAACATAAACATAACATAGAATGACAGCCTATGGGCCATTCGGCCCATCTCCTCTACATGGATCTGTTTTTATGTTGTGAACAATACCTGTCCTATTAAGGGCATATTAATCTTTGTAATCGATCTCTTCTATGAGTATATAAGATAATGAGTGGGGGGCCAAACTCTCACTAAGAACTCTTTTCTTCTTTTTTCTTTTCCACTGTTATCAAAACAGATTATTGTTTTTTCTTTTTCTACTGTTGCCTAGGCAACAAGGAAGATAAACCCTCACTTGGGTGTAAAATTTATTCTATAGCTTGAGTGCATTGCCAAAACTTATTAGGACCTGAAATGGATGGCTAGCAAAGTCACCTGGCAGTTGCATGCAAATGCGTCTTTTCACTCTTTGGTGTCCAATTTGATTATTATTTTCACATTCCCATTTCTGTTTATTTTCTTTTTCTTTCTTTTTTGTTATTTCTTGTGCTGTTCCACATACAAGTAGATGTAAAAAAGATGTGTACCAAAGCCTACTCTATAGTGAATACTGAAGAAGGGGTTAAAATGGATAACCTTATGGCTCCTTGAACACGTGAGTTCCGCAAAAATCTTGCAAAGAGATTGGTGACTTCTTCTAGATCTGCAGCACAGAGTGAAAATGCTTCTACATTACTTAAACATTTCACTGTCCTGTTAGCAAGTAACCGGTTTCCCGTGATCTTAATTTTCTGTCCATCTGTAATAAAAACAAAAGAAAATGACAAATCAGTATCACTCACAATCAACCTAAAAATTGTATAGAAATTAAATGTTAATTAGTTAATAGATCTATCTATCTATTATCTAGATATATAAAGTCAATACCAAGGGGTGCGAGAACCAAGAAAAATTCCAAACCCCTATTTTTGCTCTCTTTTCTTCTTCCTGTTATTTTTCTTCTCAAGTTCCTTCCTAGTTTGATCTCAAAGAAAACTGCAACTAGGTCTATAAGCTTATACTATGACAAGAAGGCTGTAATTAGTATTCTTATAGCTCAGTCCAGAATGATCATACTAAACATGTATGGGTAGATTATCATTTAACACGAGCTTCTTAAGAGAAAATTTACACTCCTCACATTACTACTTGATTACAAGTTGATATTCTCGCGCAAGGAGTTGCAAAAATCCTTTTGTAGGAGATTAATAGTAAGTTGACTTGAGGGGGAATTGTTGAGTTATGGTGGCACCATTGGGGATAAGATAGATCAAACATTAGTTATATTATACAAGGGAATTAAGAAGAAGAAGAATGGAAGATGGGGAATGACAACAAAGAGAACTTCATCCTTGCAACCAAGTGGAAGAGACGCTGAACATAGAGGCAAAAAGGTTCATGGTTGAGGAATCTAGCATCAACTAAATTGTTATGGAGAAGATTAGAATGTGCTACTCATATTGTTCGCAGTATAGAATGGAAGAATTCCATAGAAAATTATATGTTGCAGAAAGGAGAAGAAATCAAAAAGATTGGTTTATGAGTGATTTTTTTTTGCTTCCAAGAAGAAGCAGATGATTTGTATACCTGCTGGTGATCATTAGAAGGATGCAATACTTTTGCGAAGGATGGGGAAAGAGAAAGAGATTACAAAAACCATTGGAAAGAGGGCAGCAATGAAAAAAGGGTTAAATTGAGCTACTTATGGTGAATAACACAGGGAAAGAGTAAATCTAGTTGAATGGTGGTAAAGACAAGTGGGAATAGACCATGATGGTAATCTCGACAACAAAGAAAATAAGGAACTGGAATGAGGTGGGGGAATCCATTCAAAATTACTTATAGATACAGGGTACAATGATTATAACTCCTTATGGAAAAAAAGAAGAAGGAAATATTGGATTTAATAGATGACAAAGTGGAGTTTGCAGCATGCAGGTGGAGATGAACGAAGGAGTGGTAATAGTAGAAAGGTAGTTTCTGTTTGCTAACATGAACAAACTGGATATTGAGGAAATAATAGATATTCAAATCTTTTGTCCTCCTTTCCACCTGTTGACAAAGGATGTTTTTTGGGCAAAATTACATCACTGCGTGGGTTCCTAAAGACAATTGATGTTGAAGACCATCACTTCACATCGATGAAAATGTGCGGCTAAGCCAAAGCAAATACATCACATGATTGAATTCCATTTGTTTGGATTCATGTCTGAGTGGATGGTTTCCCACATTAGAAAGGGAAAAGAGAGGTGATGGTCTTAAATACAAGGTTGGCCCACAACCTTATATCTTAAGCTTTTGGGTGAGGGGTGGTATCCAACTATTGTGTGCAAGTCTTGTGTGAGTATATGAGATTCCAGATTCTGGCAACTCCCCTCGGTTCCCCTAATAAGTGGTATCAGAGTTAATGGTTCAGCCTGGTGCAAGTTTTGACAAATACACGCAGTGACTCGTGACTCTTTGAGTTCCCCATGGTCAAATGGTTGGAAAAAGAAATTTGCAAGAGCAGTTGATGATTCCCATAGCTTCCCCACCCTCCATGGTTGAGTGTGCTCAGATAGGTGAGCAATTGGTGATGTTGTAGCTGGCAACTGTCAAACTTGGCGATGTGTTAATGGTTCCCTTTTGGGGGAAGTGGTTGATGTAGATGACAAGGGACATGGGGGAGAGATTGTTGGAATCCACGTTGAATGAAAGGTGTCCTACATTGCAAAGGGAAAATAGAGGTAAGGGGCTCATATACAAGGTTGGCCCATAACCTAATAGCTTAAGCTTTTGGGTGAGAGATGGCATCCAACTCTTTCTGTAAGTCCTACACAAGCTCCTGGATTTTGGTGACTCCTCCCAGTTTCCCCAACACCATTTGAGGGAACGAAGTTTGGAATATGGATTGCTTTGTTTGTTGAAGCATGATTGTGGAAGAAGGGGCAAGAGGAAGAAGGTAATGACAGGGGGGGTATCAATAGAAAGGTGAGTGGAGTTTCAAGGAAAAGGTGGACAAAGGGCAAGATAAGGAAGGAGATAATGGAATGGAATATCAGAGATCATGTGGAAAATAGGGAGGGTATCAATAGAAAGGCAAGTGGAGCTTCAAAGAACAGGTAGACAAAGGGCCAGATAAAGGTAAAGGTTTGGCTCAAGAATCTAAGAGGAAGAATATATCTAAGCCGTGGAAGGGAGATCAAGTGGCTCATTTAAACCATTTTCTCAGGCCACTGTCTATTAGGCTTACAACAACCACCCCAAATTCCAAACTAACCCTCTCCCAACATTGGATTCCATGGATGATGCACTTGCCAAGGAGTGAGTCCTGTGTCTGAGACAAAGAAGTTTGTTTTAGGTGACCATCCAACATGGGTAGTGTTGTTCAGGTGAGACAATAGAGAAGTGAGATGGTGATTGAGATGAAGAAATTTGTTTTAGGAGAATGTAAAAGTCGAATCCAGTTGGTTTTGAAGTTCAAGGAAGAAGGAAGAACCACTATTTACCTAATAAGAGGCACTATTGAAGTTCAATAGCACTTGTCTTTGCTAAAATATCTTTATTTTATTATTTTGTTTTTACTTTATTATTATTATTATTTTTAATAATAATACATTACTTTTTTTGATAAGTAATAAAGTGATTTATTAAGAATGGTTAATATGAACCAACAAAAATTACATAATAGAGATCCCACAGAGAGGCGCGAGATGCTGCCTCAAAAAACACAGCAAAATTATGACTCAGCCCAGAATAATTGATCCCTATGCACCCCTTGCTTGGCAAGAAGATCTGCCATCCCATTATCTGATCTCCTTTCCCACTGAACTCTAACTGTTAAATTGGATGTTAGCCACTTAAATTTTCTCATCAACCCCTATATGACCATGCTACAGTCCTTGACTCTTTCAGCCACCCAATTACAAGTTTAGAGTCTCCTTCAATGACCAATCTCGTGAAGTTTAAATCTTTTGCTAGATGTGCTCATTGTACGACTGCTTGGACCACTGCACTAACTGTATCCTCCACTCCTATTGGGCCAGTAAACATGGCGACAACCTGACCCTCTGCATTCCTAAACACACCTACAATACCGGAAGGCCCTGGGATTGCCAAGACTGCTACCTTCAAAGTTTAGCTTGACAAAGCCTTCTTCAATGGCCCTACAAGCAACAACTGGTTTGTTCTTAACAGAATAGGATTTTGCAATTACTTCCCAGTTTCTCCACAAGTCAGCTAGAGAGAATTGTGTAAAGAGTTCTGATGCTTTGGCCCAATTAATGGTCCTGTTTAGCAAGCAATACCAAACAGAATCCCCATCCCTCTCTTTATAATTGAAGATTCTATTATTTCTTTCCTTCCAAACTGGCCAAACCAAAGCAGCCATAACGCATCTCCATAAAACTCTCCCTCTTCTCTTAGGCCACCAAAAGATTGTAGGGTCAAAGAGTCCCCCAATTTGCAAGGGCATCGTCCACCTGCAACCATAGAGACCAAAAATCCTCTCCCAAAGTTTCAAAGTAAAAGGGCAAGAAATTAGGAGGTGGTGGCAGCTTTCTCCATTAGCTTTACAAAGGATACACTAACTTGGGGAAATACTAAGGTTGGGTCTTTTCTTTTGTAGGATGTCCAAAGTGTTTATTTTCCCAAGAGAAACTTCCCAACAAAGAGAACCAACCTTGAGGGGGGGGGATGGGTTTCAGACCAAATTTCTTTACAAAAGAAAGATTGAAGGTAAGGGAGGTACACAATTGGGAGAAGGAAGCACACGAAAAGATGCCCAAAGAGCTGGGAGTCCAAATTCTAGCATCTGGTTTGGAATGGTCTAAGCAAACCATGTCAAGGGTTTTAAGAAGCAGAGTGGCTTAGTCTAGCTTAGAGTCTCTCAGATTCCTTCTAAAGCCCAGGTTCCAACTTAATCCAAAAGACTGAGAGAAGGACACAAACCTCTGAATGGGTTCATTTTTGAAGAGGGAGAAGGAATACAAAAAGGGAAAAAGGTCCTTAAGGGTGGAGTTCCCAATCTAGGTGTCTTCCCAAAAAAGAATCTTATCTCCAGTACTAGCGTCATACCTGATAAGGCTCAAGAAGAGGGGAAGAATGCCATTAATAACCTTCCACGGAGAGTTCAAAGTAGCTTGCCAAGATACTCCAGCATCCCAACCATTCTCTGTGTGCTCATGAATACTTCCTATAACCTTATGCCATAGCCTTTCCCTCTCTAATGGCCACCTCTACAACCATTTAGCATTTCCCTAAATTACCTATGCCTAAACCCCCTTGTTTCTTACTCTTATAGACCATCTCCCATTTCACCAAGTGATATTTTCTTCTTTCTCCTGGCTCCCATAAGAAATCCCTCATTATCTTTTCCACTTTCAGCACCTCCCTTTGTGGCATCTTAAAGATTGAAAGGTAATAAACTGGTGGGTTTGATAAAGTAGACTTTATCAAGGTAATACGACCCCCCAACGAAACATAGTTCCTCTTCAAAGCTGACAATTTCCTAGTGCAACTTTCAAGAATTGGGTTCAAAAGTTTCCTTTCCTTGGGTTGACTCCTAAGGGCAAGCCTAGGTATTTTAGTGGCCATCTGGTGGTAGAGCAACCTAAAGTCTTGGCAACCCTAGACACCTCCTCCTCCCCCAAGTTCATCCCCACCACACAGCTCTTTTCAAAATTAATCTTCAATTTAGATATAAATTCAAACAATTTTAGCACCTGCTTCAAGTTCCTTGCCTTCTCAGGGTCTGCACCTTCACAAAAAATTATTGTATTG